CAGTGGAGCTGCGAGAAGAGAGTCTTCACAGGTATTGTGCATAACGATTGTGTTGAGACCATTCATAAAAATTTGTGAAGTGTACTCGTCCATAGCACGCTTGGAGTCACCCACCGCCGGCACGTACTTGATAACGACACAGTGGTCCGGGTGCTCAGCTTTCTTATACAATAGGGCGTTGCTGTTCACCATGTCATTCACAACGTCTGACTTGGAAATCTCCTTCGAGCGAAAGCACTGAGGAGCCGATAGGTTTTTCCCATCGTTATTTCCGAGATGATTATAACTAACAATAGACGTGGGCTTCAATCCTGCGCCGATCAAGAAGTCGACCAAGACAGACTTCATCTTGGTCTGGCCGGACTTGAAATCATCACCAGCAATGACCGCACCAGGAATGTTCTCAGCCATCTCCTTGAGACCAGGGACGTAGGTATTCTGCGGGGAACCATTTACGAAGGGAACACCCTCTTCCAGGCAGGCCATACAATACAAAGTACTGGGAGCGATTTCAGCCTCGTTTCGAGATACTGCATCAATGAGCTCAGCCTTGGTCGTGTTAACCCCTGGTATTATGTCAGCGTAACGCTCAGTGTTAGCCGTCCATAGAACAACAATCTTATCGCAGCCATTGGCATCCTTGAAGTCGCGAATATCTTTCTTGACGCATTCAATTTGATCGCGTTTAGTCATCGTTTTCGGCATAATGTTGTCAGCACGATCCTCTTGGTTAGCCGCGATAAAAGCTGGATCGTAAATGCCGGGGAGCGGAACTATATTCTCCATCATAGGCCTGAGTTTGTTTTGTAGATCACTCGGCAACACCTTGGCTCGTTTCATGGCAGCGTACATGTTGAAACCACTGATATCCCAGCCCCCGAGCACAACGTCATCGGGATCGACCATAGGCACCAATTTGTTCATAGGGGTGTACACTTCCTTACCGTTAATGTTGCCGAGACGAACCACAGAGGCTTGCGTGACCGAACCGTAGTAGTTGGGATGCTGAAGACCGTCTTTGGTCTCCCATGTGATACCATGCTTGTTGGCAAGGATACCAGCGGTGACGGTAGTGCCGTTGTTGCCACCCCAACCGACTAGCATGACGCCGAGCTTGGGTACTCGCTTGTCGGTCTTGAAGTTGTACTTGACCGTCCTGGGAGTGACCACCCATTGGCCGTCACGAGCCTGGGAGATGTCCGTGGTGTGGTAATCGTAGGAAGCCTCGATGTGGGTGTCTGTGTAGACTACGTTGGGGGAGTCGACGGTGAAGGACGGGCAATGGATTGCCATTGTCGAGTTTCCAGATGTGAGAAAACTGAGAAGAATATACACCTTGTATGAGACTGAGGTCGACTTCACGATGTGGGGTTGACAAACACGCAAGATTAGATCTGATCGTTGTTCGAAGTGGTGGATTCCATACTGCTGATACACAGAGAACCGAATGAACCGATGCGAGTTGAGGGCGTGACGTGATACAACTCTGATGCACATCGTGGAAGACTTTGTGCTCGAGACGAGAAGATTCCAGCATAGAGTCTATGGAATTGAGACACCATCCTCGCGTTTTAAGTCCACTGACACAAAGTACCTTCATCTCATCTTGCCGACACCGCTGAGATAAGTGAGGATGACAAGATTGGGCGAGCGAGATCAGCGATCAGCAAGATTTCCGTTTTGACTGTGGGCCTGTTTCATAGGAGCAAATTGCGCCTTAAACTTAAGTAACGCCTTAAGTATACCTTAAGTAATTAGGCCATCCTATTTCACTACTTAAGTAAGCACGTTAAGGCGCCTTAAGTTTAGGAATACTTAAGGCGCCTTAAGTTTCTGTGCATATACTTAAGTATTTACGAGGAGCATTTCACAACATGCGTACTTAAGGAGCAACTTAAGTATTCCTTAAATTTTATTAAGGTAGAGCCGACCCTACCTAAACATATACTTAAGTATCGTGTTTGCATATTGCACCCTGCAGGGGTTGAACCAGGGACCCTTCGAAGGACAATGCTTGAATATTGTATCTCGCGGGGGTCGAACCGGAGACCTTACGAATGGCAGCACGGTGCTCTGCCAGTTGAGCTAGAGAGGCGAAGAAGTCAAACGAGGAGTTCACTCCTTCAATACAGCGGAAATCAAACCGACTGTACTGGCAACAGGCGTTTATTATAGTGATGTCCATGTTTGATTGTGTTCGTTTCGGTTCCCACCATAACTTTTTGAACACAAGATTTACAATTCACCGAAACTCAGACACCTTGTAATGCAAGCCATGCCAACGTAACAGTAACTAAATTCTACATCGTAACTGGCGGGGCGACGTGAGGAAGATATCCAAGGTATGTGCTGCTGTTTTCGTACTGCACAACATGGCCACCTTCATGAATCAGCCATTGCAAGACGTTGAAGAGGCAATGTTAGGTGCTTATGAACAGGAGATGGCTGTGGTTGACCCAGATGCTCCAGTGGATGGTGTCGGGAACGCTCTCCGTGAAAGCTATGTTCGCAGATATTTTCAGTGACTTTGCGATGCATCAGTGATTCGCGACATCATAAGTATATTTTCCATTCTGCGGATTGTTGTGTTACTCATTGTAGTTAGATTCGTAATTTGTGAGAACTTTTCATGCAGTTCGTTATCAATGATCGACGAAAGTAGTTGTGAAGCAATTAATAAGGAAAAATATCACACCT